CCAAGCCCCAACAGACTCTCAGTAACAGGCTCTCCAGCAACCCAACAGCTCCTGGCCTGAAAAAGCTCCACAGCAACAGCCTGGCTCCTCTCTCCAAAAATGAAGCCTAACCTAACTCTCTGGCTATGTCTACACTGCCCCTCTCTTGTACAAAAACATATGCAAATGAGGCAAAGTGTGGAATATCGTTGTGCCTCATTTCCTTAATTAATGAGGCTCCATTTTTGCATAAGAGGCTTTTGCGCAAAAAGGAGCCATCTACACAGCTCCTTTTAGCGCAAAACCCCCTCTTATGCAAGAGCCATTCTACTGCATTTTTTTCCAGAAGTACGGCTCTTGTGCATAAGCCTCTTGCGCAAGAACGGAACCTTGTTAATTATGCAAATGAGGCACGGCAATATTCCATGCTTCACCTAATTTGCATATGTTTTTGCGGAAAAGGCTATAATGTAGACATAGACCCTGTCTGCATAGCCTGGAAGAGCCACTCTTCCCCCCTTTTCCCCAAGGGCTCTTGGGAGTTGTAGTCTCTAGGGCTAGATTGCAGCACAAAGGATTCTTCCAAAAAAAAGTCAGAGGCCTCTTTAGTAAGGGGACTACAAATATATATAAAACAAAATTGTGACACACTTTCTAGAGCCTACATTTAACCCACACTACATTTACCAGTCTCATCAAGGAAAGTTTACCTCAAGTCTTTTCCACCAGGTTTTCAACCACCATGGCTGAATTTTCCTTTCTCATGAAATCAAGCCCACTGAACAAAGAATACCTGCGAGTTCCTCTGCACCCCAGATAGACCAAGCCTTTGATCTTCTTCTAAAAAGGTCACCCCTTGTTCACCCCATGTACTTTCCTTTGGAAGTTTCTGGAAACTCTTCATGAGCAATTGATTTCATATGCTCAGACACACAATACACAATGGTCCACCAGTGAAATAAGTGGCTCCCATATCCCAGCTGAAGAAATGTGACTCACTGTGTCTGCGTCATCTGCCTTTACCTAAAAAGCCTAGAGAACATAATTTTCAGTGTATATGCACAATGCCTCAGATTCTCTATGTATATGTCTCTCCATGACTATGATACCCTGTGTGCCTCTTGCTTTCATTAGCGACCTTAGATGGCATTCTTATGGTGTACTCAGGGGAATCCTGCACTCCTGTGTACTCCTGTGCCTGTTGACAAGAAGATTTTGGGTCACAAGTACCCAATCTTGTGTAAAATATAAATGACCTTCAAAAGTAAGAGTAAAAGCCCCTCCTGATTACAAAGCTGAGTAGGACAACCTGGGCTTCCATGGAGAAGGAACATAAAGGCACAAGAAGGAGGCATTAATGTTCCATCCCAGTATCAATGAGTGTGGGTTTGGTTGTGTTAGCATCCTATGGATCGCTGCGGCTAAAGCGCTGCTTCCAGACCGACCTCTATTCACTTTGGTCTCCGTACTTCAGCATTCTGCCACAGAAGCCTTCTCTATGACTCCAAGATCACCCATTTCAAGTGCATCCTTGAAACATTTTTCTTCCAGCTTTCCTGCAAGCCCTCATACCCCATCAAATAAGAGTTGGCCAAACTGAAGGACAAGAAATGTGGAATTTGTGGGTATGTCTACACTACAGCGCTAATTCGAACTAAGCTAATTCGAACTAACGCATCCAGACTAAAAAACTAGTTTGAATTAGCGTTTTGCTAATTCGAACTAGCATGTCCACATTAAGTGGACCCTGAACCGGGGTTAAGGATGGCCGGAAGCAGTGCCGGCAGGGCATCAGATGAGGACTTAGAGCGTGGAGCTGCTGCCTCAGGCTAGCCAAGGGCTGTGCTTAAAGAGACCCGACCCCCACCTCAGACAGACAGTTCTCAGGGGTACCCCACTTGCAAAGCAGTCCTGGCTTGGAGTGCCCTGAGTGCCCACACTGGGCACATCACAGCACTTGGCCATCAGCCCGGCTGCACTTGCCGCAGGCTGCCATCTGGGGAGAGGGG